ATGTTACTTGGTATCGAGTAATCAAGTTTTAATGATACTCTGTACATTGTGAGTGGAAATCACTCACGCGTTGGCCCACACTTTTCTTTATTTTTAGGTATTAACATCAAAGGTAGGTTCCTTTCAACTGAAAAACGAGAAACTAAGCTGAGAAACGAAGCTGTAAGCGAAAATCGAAGCCAGAGTTCATTAGAAAATTTTTCTATTGCAGTGCTAACGTGCAATCCTTATAAATTGCAACAGTTAGACGGGATATTTAAGTAGTAATTCTTTTAAATTTATATAATGACTCAATTTAGTTTAACTCTAATTTTATAATTTATATAGTAGTGTACTCTTAACAAGACTAAAAACAAGACAGTTCGATTAATTCAGAGATATAACAATATGTTTATTTTTGATAAATAATAAAAAAATAAGAATTAAGAAAATAAAAAAGAATAAGAAACAGTAAAAGAATTAAAATACTAAATATTAAAGTTAGGTCAGACACCTCTAACAAAACTACTAAAAGCATATCTAAAGTAAAATTAAAAGGAAAAACTAAAAGTAAACTAGAAGCGAATTGAAGTTTATATGATTTTATCATTTCCTATTTATATAAATTTAACTACATAGATGGATATAACAAATAAATCAAATATATATAATATGTCTGATATATCTGTTATATCAGATATATCAAATATATTTTATATATCAAATATATCTGATATATTTGATATTTAAATCTGCAATATACTGCGTCATATTCATCAATCCAATCTGGTTACATTACTTCTGCTTAAAGTTTCTACTCCAGCAGAAAGATTTAAAGCTTCAATTACCAGAGTTTAATATTCAGTAGTTTTTAAACGTTAAATCTTCATCAGAGTAAGTGATTGAGTACCAAAGATTCAGTAGACTCTAAGATATAGTAATAGTAGAGACCTATAAGATACGTTAAATAAAGTAAGAGTTTCATCTTCAAGAAGTTATCCTAAATAAAAGGAGTTAATAAGTGATAAAGTTAATTATTTATACATGTTAATCGTAAGAGAACTCAGTAAGTTAATTGCACTTTTTGTGATAGAATTATATTAGCTTTATAAGATTTCAAGTTCTGAGTGATTATAGTTGAGAGATTTGCTATATGTTTAGTTATCTTAATATAATTTCAAAATTATCTAGTATAACCATTTTAAATATTTCAAAATAGTTTCGTCAGGGTCTCTACTAGGCCTATATTTATAGAAAACTTATCAACTAATAATGACTTGTAATGTCTATTTAGATCTTTCTAAATATGGTTTTAAAAGATTAGCATGTACTGAATTCTTTCTAACTCATCTATCTATAGTATGCAATTTGTACGTACTAGATCATATAATATTATGTATGTAGAATAGTCTATCAAATTTATCTTTAAATTTATCACCATGTATGTGTGACTGTAGTACATTAAATATTAACACCTTATTACTAATTTGGTAATTTATTTTAGAGTAACTTTTATTGTAATATTCCTGTTATTGTTGTTGACGTTACAAAATATTTTGTTGTGTATCAAGTCTCCTTTGTTCCAATTAGATTGAAATTAATTGATAGTATTTATCTACTACTTGTAAGAGATTACTTTCAGGTGAAAGGCGTTGTAGTTGTAAATTAATAGGTAATGTGATTTTTTTTTCATATAATAATTCAAAGGGCTCTAATTTGGTTGTTTTTTGCTGCACAGTTCAATAAGCAAACAGGGTTGAAGGTATATATAAATCCCATTCATCTTTATGTTGCTCTACATATTTTGCTAAAATATTACAGAGAATTCAATTGAATCGCTCAGTTAATCCATTAGTCTAAGGGTGATATGAAGATGATAATCTATGTTTAGTTTCAACAATATGCATAAGAGTGGTGATTAACTCATTTTGGAAGGACGTAGCTCTATCTGTTAAGATTTTTTTTGGTGTACTATGTTGACAAATTATTTTATTATAAATGAATTATGCAGTTGTTTGAGAAGTACAATCAGAGGTTGCAGTGACTTTTACCTATTTAGTAAGATATTCAGTAGCAACTATAATATATCTGTTTCTTTTGGTATTTTGAGAAAGGGGTTCTATATAATCTATTTTAACACAGTCAAATAGTTATCTGACAGATATTGGATGTAAAGATTTCATCTGTCTAGGTCTTCCTTGTCATTGGCAAGTATCACAAGTTTTTATTTAATTATTGATTACTTAATACATATTTGGCCAGTAATACTTAGAAGTTATTTTATTGTAAATTATATCACGACTTAAATGTCTTCCTATAGGTTTATTATGTATATTGTAGATCAAGGTTTCAATCTCAATTGTTCTAATGACTAATAGGATTTGTGAAGATTGTTTTTGATTTCTCTGATAAAATTGTTAATTTTTAATAAAATATTTGAAGGATTGTTTTCAGATTTCAAGTTGTTATGCAGGGATAGTATTTGGTAAGTAAGTCAGGATATTGAGAAAATTATAAAGTTAGTTGTAGGTTTCTAAATCCATTTTAATTGTCAGAGCTATTAGTCACACTGTTGACACTTAAGCTTTCATTCTTTATTTTGTTGTTCTTAAGTTGTAATTAAATTGTAAGAGAAGAGAAGCAAGATAAAGTATTTGTGTTTGAATGTATTTTTTCTTTCCTGTATCTAATTTTATAAGAAAATTCCATGATTCTAATGATTTATTTTATAAATTTTCTGAATAGATCTGGTTTATTAAATAACTATTGTAACGTTATATGGTCAGTTACTAACTCAAAGAGTTGATAAAGTAAATATAACCTAAAATGTTTCATTTCCTAAATTGCAGCAAGATATTCCAATTCAGTAGGTGCATAATTTCGCTTAGTATTATTTAAACTTTGGCTAACATATGTAACAACGTATTCCCTATTTTAATCATCAAGTTGTATTAGTACTGCTCTAAGTCCTACATAAGATCCATCAGTGAATAATAAAAACTTCTATTTAAATCTGAGTATATTAAAATTAGTGCTATAATCAAACAATCTTTCAAATGTTCAAATGCTTTCTGCTGAGATGAAGTCCATATAAAAGGACTTTCTTTCCATTATAATAAATATAAAGGAGCAGCTTTAATAAAGAATTCTTAGATAAATTTACGATAATAAAAGGCTAGCCTAAGAAATTCTTTAAGTTTCGTAATATTTTTAAAAATTAAAAAGTTCTTAATTTTATCAATTTTCAATGAGTCTAGCAAAATTCCTTATTTACTAACAATGTATTCTAAAAATGTAAGTTCCAGTTTACAAAACTTACATTTATCTTTGCTAAGTTTTAATTCTACCTTCTTTAGTTTTTCAAAAATATGCTTCAAGTGTTGTATATGTTCTTTAAAAGTAGAAGAAAATATAATAATATCATTGAGATAAACTGCTACAAACTGTCTAATTTCTTTTTTAAAAACTTTATTCATCAATCGCTGAAAAGTAGCAGGTGTATTTGTTAGTCTAAATGGCATAACTTTAAATTCGTATAACTCTTGACTTGTAATGAAAGCTGTTTTTGCTTGATCTTTAACTTCTATTACCACTTGCCAGTATCCACTAGCTAAATCTAAGGTAAAAAAATACTTAAACCATCCAAATATATCTAACAGTTTATCAATTCGTGGTAATGGATATTCATCTCTCCTAGTGACACTATTTAGCTTTTGATAGTTGACACAAAAATGTAGACTTTCATTTTTCTTTCATACTAAAATGACAGGTGAAGCTCAAGGACTTTCAGATGGTTGGATAAGGTTATATTTAGCATTCAATTAATTTCTTCCTTAATAAATTCTTGTTCTAAAGGTGCAACTCGATAAGCTAGTTATCGTATTAAAAGAGGATTCTCTATTAAAATATAATATTTTTCAATGGTGATATAACCTAATTATAATAAATCATTAGCGAATGCATTAGTGTTAGCCTATAAAAACTGTTATAAATCCTTTTGTTATTTTTGATCTAAATGAGCGTATAAATTGATTTTTGCTAGTTCTTCTTTGGGAATATTTTATAACAGTTGTCAATATTCCTATTCCTTTTGATATAATAAGTATATATCCTTAATTTAGTTAAATCGTTTATGGCACTAATATCTATTTTTAGGGCCTTGCCAATAATAATTCCATTTTGAATTTTCAGGTAGTTGATACCCAAATTTTTGTTTAAAGCTCTCGAAATACTGTGGTAAATAAGTTTTTTTTTGAATCATTACTTGTTAGGATTATTTTCAGCTAAGATGAGTTCTTCTTCATTATCTCCTAATATTATATAATATTATTGCATAGTCAATTTTTCATCTTTATACTCATCATTTATAGAACTTGTAAAAATTAGTGTAGATTGTTAAATTTGTCAAATTGAGGTTTTTTCCAGCAAGTTATAGGAAGCTAATGTTCCTTTTAGTTCCATTGAAAAATAAATTTCTAACAGTCCCAATAAAATCATTTGCAATATTTCGTTTACAATATATCGTTAACTAATTATTCTCAGCTACAATATAATAATCATTAGACTTAGTTATATTAACATTGATGAGGATTTTTACGTTATCAATTTAAATTGAAATATTAGTGATCTTTTCCAATAGTTATGAGCATCCACCTTGTATATTAATCATCGTAATCATTGACAAGCTTTCAATTTTTCTATTTAATTATTATAAGAAACTTTTTGACATAACACTTTCAGTAGATTTTGAATCTAAAATTAAATAAATAGGTTTACTATTTACGAATACATAATAACAGTAAATAGTTTCTACAATTTTAGATGTATTAATCTTATTTAAGGGGTTTAAATAATAACTGATACTCTCACCCTCTAGAGGTACTCTTAATAGTTTAAAGACTGGTTGGATAGATCAGGAAAGGAGATACTATTAATCATGAAGGTATTAGTAAAAGAAAATGTTATGAAAGGTTGTGAAGAAAGAGGTAGTAAAGATGAATTTGGAATATAATATATAGAACTTTCTTGTGATAATGCAGCTCGTTGACCTGTTAGATTACATTATGGTTATCTATTATTAAAAGTTAATACTAGTCTAATTAGGCATAAGTTTTCCTAATGTTCAAACTGACGGTAGTGTGAATAGGATCTGTTAGTATTGGATTATAATTTCTGACTATGTATCCTTTTCGTTTGTAAGTAAAGCATCTGTTTTTATTCTGA